TTTTTAAAAGAGGTATTAAGATTAGATTACCAAGAATTTTGTCTAGCTTATAAATCATGATCTCCTGCAGATGTGATGGCATATTAATTATTCTATTGCACACATGCATATTTCCATTCAGAAAAACAGAGAGGTACATCAACTGGGCATAATCCCATTCCATTGCTTTCCATATGCAGTTAAACGGTTTTGTTGTCATTTTTTTTGAGAATATTGTACCGGTGATATTCAAATCCATTTATGTTGTGTAGTACCAAAGTATCGTGCATCTCTATGATATATCTTCATCATAAAGAAAAGGATTCAGTTTACAAATCTACTAAATTTCTGAGCTCGATCTTTCTTGGATCAAAGCTAGATATAATATGTTTGTGAGCTCAATATTCAAACTCATCTAATTATTTCATAGTGTACAAAAAAAAGACATAACATGCATGAGAGTGACCTATGCAAAGCAATACCAAATAGTTAAATACTTCATGTTAATTCTGCCTCTGTGTATTTCTACTTTTCTATTTTGATGTAGAGAGTATTGTTAGCTTCTCCTGGCATTGGATTGTTACAATAATTTGCATTTGGCATGACACGATTTATATCTCAATGTTCCACTGCAGGTTCATGGAGATGATGATGGGTTGCTTCTTTATTGAGCCCTACCCACTCTCAGGGTATGATGTGTGTTGCCTCCATACACGTTCCCATGAACTATACTGCTTATGTTTTATTTGATATGCCTTTGGATTTAATGAACATATTGACGTGGCAAATTATGAGCAAAGAACAATAAGCTTCTGTAATTATATATCAATAGGATTTGCAATGAAGATCACTATGTTGGCAAAAATGGTTGGAAATTTATGTTGCCTTCAGCTCTATAAGCTGAAAATTTTGTTGAGGAGTAGATTGGTTTGACAATCAACTTATTCAGCTCTGTATTCACCACTAACAGATCATTTTAGATACACTTGATTTTGTTATTATTTACAATCCCAATCCATTCACCCAGAACAAACAGGAAAGGGAAGTTTTGACAAAATATAAGTTCCCCTGCGAGGGAAACAATTTACTGCTGAAATTGTCTATTTACAGTACTTTGGACACATATATGCATGAGAGAATATAGCACCTCGGCTGATGGTCTTGGGGGTGGCATGAATGATGGCAACAATGGCATTGGCGCGTTGATCTCCTTGCCGGGCTGGTGGCGCTGACATCCTCCTACCCCACCCTTGCTGCGCCATCGGTTGTCCAGGTGTCTCCATGCTGGTCGGTTGGTTGCTCTGGTGGCACAGCTATCAATCTCCTTAGGTATGACTAGGTGGTGGACGCTGCTGATCTTGTGATACAACGGTTGATTCGGCAAGGAGAGGCTTCTAGCTGGACAGTGAAAAATTATTTGTGTATCTTTGGCCTTTTGGTCTAAGTTGAGGGTGGTTTGAATCTTAAATTATTGTACTACTGTTTCCAGAGGCATTTCGTTTTCCTTTTTATTATGATTTAAATATGTTATAGAGGTATAATATGCAAAACATATTGGTTCAACTTACTCTATAATTTTGTATGCAAATATGGCTACTCTGGGTATGGAGTACCTACTATAAAGATAGCTTATTTGTCATGTGTAAAATGAGCTAATCATACTATATACAGGCTACATTGAAGTTTGGCTGGTGGTTAATTATAGTAGCTGTACAATTTGATGTTATTCCAGAACTTAATGACAACACTGATGCAATATTAGTTTTGTGATGATTTCCATTTTTCCTTGCCTATACGTAAATAAACATCAACAAAAACACAGAATCCTCCTGGCACCATTGGTGCAGCGCGCAAAGCTTTGCGCGCGTCCACCGCTAGTATAGTATAGAACGCATCCTAATTGGACCATGCAGCTGGTTCCCCTTCCCCTGCCGACCTGAGTCGAAAGCAAGCTAGACAAGAAATCAAGTCCATGCAAGGCAGCCTAGTCGAGATCTGAATTTTATCTTCTTAAATAGTACTAGTAAGAGAAAAGAAGAAGTATAGAAAGTGACGTTATTTTAAGTTTCTCCCATCCTACCCACTGCCGAATATATTATTTAATGGGATAAGTGTAGAAAATAACCATAAATTTACAGCCTCATCTTTTGGTTTATGCTTATGCTTATAAGCTAAAATTTGAATTTTCAACTTTAAATTTAAAGTTGATTTTGAGATTTTTTTCATCGTAGTTTATTTTTCAGCATTTACTTTTAAATCGCTAAGAACACGTACATAAAGTTTTATTTATAAATTATTTTTCGTTTACAAATATGTCGTTTCGCTTATTCCGTCAATAAGCGAAACAATAGAGTACTTAAGTGTTATACAGCCACTACTCATTTTACAATTTTTACAATCCTACCCCACTGCTCATTTTACAATTTTTACGAAGTAGCCCCTAATATTTTCTGATAGCATAGAATAGTCTAGTGTTTTAAATAAGTGATTACGGAGTATCATATAAGTATATACTTAAATAAACAAACAAGTAATACTAATATTTGATTAAAATATATTTTGTTTTTGACATATTATAATATATTTTTTTACACATAGCCAAGCAAGTGTATTTTACTAGTCTCACGACAATTTGCACAATTAGCCTAGTACTCACTCCATCTATTTTTGATAGGCATATTTTTAAAACTAAAAAATTTACTTTGATAGGCATATTTCAATCCAACCACCTATCCTCTTAATAACTTTCTCAGATTTAATACGTGACTCTCCATTCTTCCACACAAAATTGGCTACATGGGCATCGAGAAATGTAAATATTAATAAATCGCTCGTTTACGAGGAATAACTAGTAGCATGTTTAAATAAATGATAAGTAGAATTACTTATCATTGGTTATTGTGCCAAGATAAAATATGACTATCAAAAATAGATGAAGTAGATGAAGGGAGTATATTACTCCTGATTCGTTTACATTTGATTGTCATATATACTCTGGACATCAAGACCAAGGACTACATTTATCTATCATCGAACGAGCTATGTGGTCGCTTCGTTTCCGCTGAGGGAAGGCGAAGCAACGCGCATGCAAATCGATTAGAGCAGGTAAAATAGCAGGCTATAAGCCAGCTGTAAATATATTTTAATAAGATAAATAAGGAGAAGAGAAGCAGCGGGCTATAGATTTATAGTCAGCTGTAGCACAGACTCCAAGACGAATTGTGTGTATGATAGGTGGGACCAGATATTAATAATGTAGTATGTAACTATTGTATGAATATGCTATTAGATTGGCTATAATTAAATTGGAGCCGGTAGTTGACTATTCTATTAAACTTGCTCTTAGAGTAGGAGTATTTGCTTCTGTAGACTGCATGCAAACATGCATGCAACTGATGCCCATTAACTCACGCTCATAGATAAATGAACATGTACCACTTCAATTAGTTATCTGCTGATCAATTTAAAATAACCTTAAAAAAACTTATATATGCTGATTATTTGTGAATAGAGGAAGTATAATATATTTATGATTTTACCATAAATAAGAGAAAATTCCTATGCATATGGAAGTTTAACCAATCCATTCTATGCCTCTGAATTTTGTCCACTCCCTTTATACCCATGAACTGTATTTTTTTTATCTCTTTCATACTCATTCCATTAGTTAACCGTCAGTTGACTGCGTAATTCCTATGAAAATTAAATGACCATTTCGCCCTTAGACATGGAGAAAACATGGAAATTGTAGACTAGCTATATTGTTAGAAGTGTATAATTTTGTTATATAAGACTAATATATATATATATATATTCATGATTTTATCGTACAAGAGTTATTCATGGCAAAGTTTATTTTTACATAATGACATAAAATTAATATTTATTTACTTATTAAAAGAGTATACGTAGTATTTTTATGGTAATTCAATATACTTTTTTTCCTTAGTATAGATTATGCAGGAATGCTTACCAAAGCTATGTTTATCATTTAAAAAATGCTACACATAATTTTTTAATATATATTAAAATTTCTATGTACAACAAACTTATGAATATTTTGGTCACAAAACAAATTTCTATACTTCCAACAATACAGTCCATAAATTTCTACATATTCCTCACATATTAAGGGTCAACTAACGGTCAATTAACGGCAAAGGTATGGAAGGGATTCTAATCAAAATTCAGAGGTATACAAGGGAGTGAAGAAAATACAGGGGCACAGAAGGGATCGAATAAAATTTTATGGGTGTGGAAGAAATTCTCTCTCTAAATAAAGCACCAAGTGTGGTAGTGGAAATTAAAACACTCAAGCCATTAAGACCAACAATCAAGCACGGAGCCATGATGAACAAAATGTCTTACAAACATGCATATATATACTCCCTTCGTCCTTAAATATTTGACGCTGTTAACTTTTTTAAACATGTTTGACCGTTCGTCTTATTGAAAAACTTTTGTAAAATATGTAAAACTATATGTATACATAAAAATATATTTAACAATGAATCAAATGATAGGAAAATAATTAATAATTACTTAAATTTCTTGAATAATACGAACGGTCAAACATGTTTATAAAAAGTCAACGACGTCAAATATTTAGAGAAGGAGGGGGTATATACCAAATTTCATCGTATATATCTCTTTTGCCCTCAACATATATATATTTTTGTTTCCTGGTTATTGTTGCGTGGGAGGTATTGGGAAGAAGGCGGCCGGCAACAGTTGCACTGACCCGTAAGCGCAGCTGCACCGCCAATTCCATCACTGTGCAGCCCATCGGGGGGGGGGGGGGGAGGGCAGGGGCCATGGCCCCTCCCAATAAAAAGAAATTTTTTTATTACCCCCATATATGGTGTCCAGGTCCAGCAGGCCACCGTATGGTCCAATTCAGTCCGGCTGGCCCATCTAAATCTCTGTGTATGTACGCAAACAATTGGAGACGCAACCGCAGGAGCCACAGCCGCTCGGCGACGTTTCAGCTTCGCATCGCAGAAGTCCATTCACGACTCCGTCCGTCCGCCGCACTGGCAGCACTGCGGCACTGCCATTTGCCGACTACCGGTGCTGCACGCCGGCATCAACAACATCAACACCGACAACATGGCTGCCTCCTCTCATGTTCCTGTTCCTCCTCCAAATCAAACCAATGTAAGCATGCCCTATTTCCCTAATCCATATCTCCCAATCTATTTTTGATATAATTTCTTGTCTCATAATAGTAGCATAGGATTTATTTTTGATAAAATTAGATCAAATTCTTATAGGAAACCAAGGCAAAACCTAAAAGAAAGACGTTGCATTCTTTCTATAATAATGACGGCAGATTTGATTATGGACGATTTCAATACAGTGAAAACTCGTGCCGTGAAGTTTAAATAAACATGTAAGTATATTGCCCACTTTTGCAAACTATTTGCTTTTATGTATTGCCAATGCATGAAAAAGAAAAGAGAAATTGCTAATTTTTTTTAACTGTCAAAAGCCGGCTGCCCCCCTTTGATTTTCTGTCAAGCTCCGCAACTGGCATCGGCGATCACCTATTGCGACCCAATGGAACGGTGGCTAACACATTCCTCTCGTGTCACTCCTCCGTGAGCACGTACGACGCCCTGCACTGGTTGATCAGGATAGTTGGCCGTTGCCTTCACTGTGAGGTGCGATCGAGATTCTACAAGAGCTAGTTGTCGTCTTTTCCAGAGGCCACGTACTTCAAAGCAAGGGTTTGCACTTTTGATTTTGGTAGGACCCAAATTTACGAGATTTCATGATTCTCGGTACTTTTTGACCGAAGTTATTTGCAATATAACAAATTTTGACTGAATTAGAATAAACTTCGACTAATTTTAATAAAAAATTGATAAAGTCCGAAAATTTCAGTTGATACAGTGACTTGCCAGGGGTTTCGAAATTTGAAGCCTGAGTGACAGGTTCCATCACAAAGAATTTGAAACCAGTTGAGATATGTCCACTTTGCAATTCTCTCACAATTTTAATTTGCGTCGATACGATTTTGCTTGAGAAATACCTCAAATCATCCCGCGAGATTTTCCTCAAAGACAATAAACTAATCCCTGCAGGCACCGTTATGTGCAATTCATGCTTCCTCTCACACTCGTCCTACCTTCGCTATGAAATGAAGCTCCAAGTGTGACGGATGAAAAATACTAGAGTCGTCAAATCACACCATTCACTATGAAATGAAGCTCCAAGCGTGACGGATGAAAAATACTAGAGTCGTCAAATCACACCCTTCACTATGAAATAAAGCTTCAAGCGTGACAGTAGAAAAATACTAGAGTCATCAAAACACAACATCTAAAGCAACAAGACCATGCAAAGGTGAGCAAATATGTTTCCTACTACTAGTACAAATACACACTCTTCCCCTAATATGGTATGTTTGTGTCTTGAGCTCCATAGTCCACATGAGGGTAGGAGCTAATGCCGGGAAGAGAGCGACCATTGCACGAACCTTTGTACAAGGGATCACGCGATTCAGCTAGCGGAGCAGCCGCATCCATGCACGGCGCTGCCGAGTGACCACCGTTATCTCACAACCCAATAATGAACCAGTGATTAACAATGAGTACAAGCTAAGTGTCACTAATCCGTGAACGCGGCGGTTTGCACTGGTTGATGAGGAGTGTTTGCCCCGTGTTAGTATTGTTTATTTCTATGATTTCAGAGGATATATGGTTTATGAACTATTTATTACTTCCTCATTCGTTTCATATTATAAGTCGTTTGTTTTATTCTCTAGCCAAACTTTTTAAAATTTGACCAACTTTATATAAAAATATAATAGTATTTCCAACACAAAACAAACATATTATTAAAATATATTTAATGTTAGATTTAATAAAATTAATTTGATATTTTAGATGTTGTTAAATTTTTCTATAAACCTGATCAAACTTAACCAAGTTTGACTAGAAAAAAAATCAAACAACTTATAATATGAAATAGAGAGTTACTATAAGTAAAATTATATTTTAGTCTTAAGAGAGTCTATATATAGTACCGAGTTCGTCCAGAGCCGTTAAAATTGTAGAGCCGACCTAGTGGCAGGATGGAGGGTTGATTCAGTCGGAGGTCATAAGATAGTGTGCAACATTATAATTGGCTAGCAGAGCAACTAGTTACTGGAATGTCTAGCGGGCTGGCAGTATTTGCAGTGAGATCTCTAGGATTTTTGGGAGTCCTTGAACTTGGGGATTCATTTAGAAGTAACTTTAAATTAAAAGTTTTGAAGCCATCCGGTGTGCGTGGTTAAGTGATTTCACTGTTTGTGCCTGTTTTTTCTTTTAGATTGGGAAATATGGTTCTCCTCAACTTCTCCGGGTTCGGCGAAATTAAAACCTCCAAATTCCGCTTGCAAGATTGTGTTTTCAAGGCGAGAAGCTTTTCAGTAGAGCTTTGGAAAATTTTACAAGTCACATATTTCATCCATTTGAGTTTAACTTTTCTATGGTTGATTCTTGTGTGCTTCTAAGCGTGAAAAAAAATCAAAACATTAAAAAAAATTCAGGGAAGAGGGCGCTAGCCACATTGACGCGCTAACCCTGCCACCTCAGCGTCGACCCGCCACGGTGGCAGGAGGACGGCGCCAGAGAGGCTGGCGCCCTCCTGTTGAACGATGGCGCCATCGACTCTGACGCCCTAGAAAGGATCATTTTCGGGATTAGTTTATTTAGGGGCCTTTGTCAAGTGAGTTTTCAAAAGAACCAAATTGTAAAAAATCCATGTCTCAATGCTTAGCTTTTGACAGGCCACTCATGAAAAGCGCTGAGAAGGCAAAGATGGACACATCATTACCAATAATGCGTACCACCATTACCAATAATGTCTAAGAGGAATATAATGGTGGTGACAACAAATCTGACATCATCACCACATTACTCATTTTACAATTTTTACAAAATAGTCCCTAATATTTTTTAATATCAAAGAATAGTGTAGTGTTTTAAATAAGTAAATATCATATATTTAAGGAAAAAGTACGAATTACCCCCCGAACTATCGCGGTCGTCCGAATTACCGCCCTGAACCACAAAACCGGACATTCTTCACCCCTAACTATGCAAACCGGACGAATTACCCCCCTCGAATCAATTTAGAGCGGTTTTGTCCAACGTGGCGCACACGTGGCAATCCAGTCAGCGTTTTTTAATTAAAAAATTATGGGACCCGCATTCCATACTCTTCTCTTCTTCCCCCCTTTCTCTATTCTCTCTCTCTCTCTCTCGCTTTTTCTCTCTCGTAGCGGACGGTGCGGGGACGGCGAGGACGGCGAGGACGGAGGCAGCGGTAGCAGAGAGGCGAGGACGGCGACGGCGGAGGTAGCAGCGGCGGCGGCGAGGCAAGGCGGCGGCGGAGGCAGCGGCGGCAGGGAGGCGAGCGGCGGGGCAGGGCGGCGGAGGAGGCGAGCGGCTGTGGGAGCTCGCACTGCTCGCGGAGGAGGCGAGGCGGCAGTGGGGTGCGGCGGCGGCGAGGCGAGGCGGCGGCCGACGAAAGATGGGGAGGGGAGAGGCGCGGTGGTCGGCGTCGCCGCTGGTGGGTCCGCCGCGGAGGGGGCGCAGGTCGACCGGGCTCACCGGCCGCCTCTTCCCTCTCTACCGCCTCGCCTCGCCGCCGTCGCCGCCTCCTCCGCCGCACCCCGCCGCCGCTCGCCTCTTCCGCCGCCGCCACCTCGCCTCCTCCGCGAGCAGCACGAGCTCCCACCGCCGCTCGCCTCCTCCGCCGCCCAGCCCCGCCACTCGCCTCCCCGCGCTCGCTGCCTCCGCCGCCGCCACCGCTACCTCCGCCGTCGCCATCCTCGCCGCCCCCGCGCCGTCCCCGCGAGCCGCGAGAGAGAAAAAGCGAGAGAGAGAATAGAGAGAGAGGAAGAAGAGAAGAGGATGACATGCGGGTCCCATAATTTTTTAATTAAAAAAAACGCTGACCGGATTGCCACGTGTGCGCCACGTTGGACAAAACCGCTCTGAATTGGTCCGAGGGGGGTAATTCGTCCGGTTTGCATAGTTGGGGTGAAGAATGTCCGGTTTTGTGGTTTAGGGGGTAATTCGTACGACCGCGATAGTTCGGGAGGGGGGGTAATTCGTACTTTTTCCTATATTTAAATAAGCAAACAAGTAATACTAACATATTTGATAAAAAATATTGTCTTTGACATATTATAATATAATTTTCTTTTACACATGGCGCGGCAAAGCAAGTGTATTTTACTAGTCTCACATGACATTTGCATAATTAGCCTAGTATATTACTCCCCCATTCACATTTGATCATCATATATGCTCTGAACATCAAGACAAAGGAGATTTACTCCGGTCCAACAAAAAATACCTCGAGGTACCGGTACCTCACGGTATCAAATTATTTCTGTTCATTGGATCTAATTGGATGGGATGGACATTGTTAGATCCAACGATCGGAAATGATTTGGTATCGTAAGATACCGGTATCTCGAGATATTTTTTGTTATAGCGAAGCAAAACTCTTAAGACTAACATTCAAGCTAGCACGCAGCCATGATGAACAAAACGTCGATCTTACAAACATGCATATACATAGATACCAAATTTCACCGTATCGATCTCTTTTTGCCATCAACATGCATATTTTTTCCTGGTTACTGCTGCTGCGTCCTCCTCCACATGAGGATGGGAGGTGTTGGGAAGAAGGCGGCCAGGGTCTCAAGAATGGGCTGCTCGGCAACAGTCGCACTGACCCGCAGTCCCACACGCAGCTGCACCGCCAATTCCACCCCCAATGGAACGGTGACTAACACCGTCCTCTCGTGTGTGTCACTCTACTACAGTGAGCACGATGTCCTGCAGTGGTAGATCAGGATAGTTGGCAGTTGCCTTCCCTGTGAGGTGCGAGATTAACTCTGGAAGAATTTAATTTTGTCTTTTCCAGAGGCCAGTTTTTTCATAGCAAGGTTTGCACTTTCGATTTCAGTAGCACTGAAATTTATGAAATTTCATGATTCTCAGTACTTTTTGACCGAAGTTATGTGAAATTATAACAAATTTTGACTGAATTTAAATAAACTTTCGCCAAGTTCAATAATCGTTTGAAGAAATCCAAAAATTTCGGTCGATATTGTGACTTACCAAGCGGTTCAAAATGAACGAAATTTCGAACCGCGATTCCAATCACTGGTTGACAGCACCGCGTGATTAATTACAGAAGAAACGGGTAATAGAATGCCTAGCACGTCGGCATCATTGCTAGTGTCATCTTTAAGACTTTCTCAGACACCTAGATTTCTGGGTTCATTTAGAATTTAAGATTGAAGTTTTGAAGCTATGCGATGTGTATGATTATATCGTTTGACTGGTCGAGGGTATTTTTGGTTTCGATAGTGCAAAACAGATGAACTCACGACATGTTCGAATCTCGATCGGTTGTGCTTGAACGTTATGAGGTTACGACCATAACCCTAGCTAACTTGTACTCCCTCCATTTCTAAATATTTTTTTTACCTTGAGTACTGCCAGGACTTTGCCCAGCAGTACCGTTTCTAAATATTTGACACCGTTGACTTTTCAGCATATGTTTAACCGTTCGTCTTATTAAAAAACTTTTGTAAAATATGTAGAACTATATGTATACATATAAGTATATTTAACAATGAATCAAATGATAGGAAAAAAAATTAATAATTACTTAAATTTTTTAATAAGACGAACGGTCAAACATATTTAAAAAAAATCAGTGACGCTAAATATTTAGAAACGGAGGGAGTATTTGACAGTGCGTGCAGTCCTTATAA